ACCCTGCGGTTTTTAGTGGTCAGTTTTCAGTTTTTGACATGGGGTAAACGCGGCTTTTCAGATGGACCCCGGGACGTATCATCCTGCGGGCCTTCCGACTCGGTCCATTGATGGTAGCTGTCAGTAATGGAGGCAACTGGGTAAAGGAAGGGGCCGTGTGTGGGGCCCTGTTATCATGGCTTCCTCTGGTGGAAGCATGGAGTGTAGAGCTGGAACCCTTTAGCCTTCCCTTTAAATTTAAAAGGGAGAAAAATTAGAAGATCTCGTCAGTGGAGACCTTTTTAAAAGCCAATTCTATCCACTTGCCTCTACAATCCCTGCTTGTGTACTACGCCGTCTTAATAAAAACAACTTCTAAATTCCTTTGCTACGACGTCCCCGGTAGTATGCTAAAGTTTTGTCTGTGTTGAAGTGAAACGATCCCCACAAACTCCGAAAGACAAGTTAAGCAGAGCTGCTCAGACCTTAAATGGATGATGCCTTTTGGGGGTCGTGCGTAACTCCTCTGGTTCCGCTACACAAAACGAACAATGTTGTTGTTTTTGTTTTTCTAAATTCTAAATGATGAGCAGCAGACTAAATGTGGGCTTGTTTGTATATGTCTATATAAGTTGTAAAAATGTAAATAAAAATTAAGTTAAAAAGGGAAAAAGTCCACTAATGCCTGGGACTGGTCAGTTGGAAAAGGCGACGTGGGAAAGCGGCACCGCGGGCGGTGTTTGTCTATTTGTCTTTATCTAAATCCGGGGAAGGCCTTATCATTAACCCCGGCTGGTGGTCGCCTACGATTTGCTTAACCTGACCCAATCTCCAACCAGGCCCGACCGGTTGACTCAGATTTTTCTTTTTTTTTGCTCAACTACAGCTATTAACCCCGGCCGCGGAGGGGAGAGTGCTGTGGGGGGGGGGGGGCAACTCTTCAAAGGGGGGACAGACAGACACCAGCATTGTGAAACTTTCTTTTTTTTTTTTCCCCAAATGACCCTCGGAGAATGTGCGTGGTGGAGCTCCACGCCACTGCCCTCTGCATATCGCCTCTCTGAGGTACTTCAGCCCCATAAAGAGACTTTTGTCCTCGCCTCCCCTGTCCTTTGGCTCGGCTTCTGCTCGACATTTGACAGCGTGTGGGGGGCCTTTTGGTAGCAGGAAGCGGCGCTCAGATGCACACAACTGGAGCTCAGAGCCAGAGGTTTGCCCTTTTTGCCCCCCCCGCCAACGCACGTTCCTCTCTCTGGAGATCTAAAGGTCCTTCAAACCGGGTTCCAGTCCCTCCGTCCGTCCGTCCTCCGTC